TTACCGGGCAGTTCTATTTGACGATATATATACAGCCCCCTCGTTTGTTGTCCTCTTCTCTCTCTCTGCCCACGGTTTACCGGGCAGTTCTGTTTGTGACGATATAAACAGAACTGCCCGGTAAACCGTGGGCAGAGAGAGAGAAGAGGACAACAAACGAGGGGGCTGTATATATATCGTCAAATAGAACTGCCCGGTAAACCATAGGCAGAGAGGGAGAAGAGGACAACAAATATATATTGTCACAAACAGATATACATATATATGTATTGTCACACTGTGAATCGGAGCGCAAAGGCGGAAAGTTAAAGAGGATTATGAAATTTTTTTAATTTTTTGAGTTTTGAATTTTTTTTTTTTTTTATGTTTTTTTTTTTTTTTTTTTACACGGTACAACAAGTGCCCAGGAAAGCAGGACTTTAGGCCCGATGGCTCAGGCCGGGAAACCTGCCATCGTCCTTTCTGCATCCACAGAAAGGTGAGTGGGCATGGGGGCAGCAACCCGGGTTTGGCAGACCTTAGGCTGGCCGTAACTATACCCACTACATGGGAAAGGGGGACAACCCATGTCCTTGCGGTGACCGCCATCACAACAATCCTGGACACCATTAAGAAGGGAGAAGAATGTCAGAGCACCATGTTCCTTCGCAGATCACACCCTAACAAGCAATCACAGAACAGAAGGCAATAATATGAACACAACCTCTAAATGTAATCAAGAGTTAAAATAAACGGAACCAAAACAGAGGGCCCGCAATATACAGATGCCGTATACATCATCACAGGAATATGAGAGCGCAAAAGCGAAAAAAAAAAGAAAAAAGAATGAATTCGTTTTTTTATATCTTCTTCCTTACAACTCCCCCTGTTCAGAACCTCTTGCGTACAAGGCCGCCCACGCGGATGTAGGTTGAGCGGCGGCTGCCCCCACCCCCGTGTGTCATATCTACCCACTTGCACACAGCCAAAAGGCGAAGAGGCAAAGAAAAGAGGAAGGGAACAGCCAAATAAAACAGAACAGGGGGCAACAAAACGAGATGTCAAAACATTCAACAAAAAGTTCACGAGTTTTTTCTTGCAGTTCGAGTTTTGCCCGAAGTGACTTTTTACGTGGAGATTCTCCAGAGATGAAAGACAGTGGGGCTCATTCCACTAAACATTCTAAATGTACGTGGATCTAGTCGTTGACCTGATACATTCACAATGCTGGATCAGTTCAAATGTATCTCGTCCAAGCCGTAGTCCAGATACATGCAGAATATTGTGTAGACAAGCGAGGTCCAGTGTTTGGGCTCAGCCTACAGACTTAAAGTCAGCACCCCCCCCACTTTGTCTGTAAGTCTGCTGTTGCATGTTTTTAGATAAGAGCTAGAGTGTGAGTAACGCCTCAGGAAGGAATGCACCTACTGGGCCTCCCTGCACTACTTTCCACATGCACAACAGACAAAAATCATGGCTGTGTATCTTTCCATATTCTAGCAGAAGATTCACTCTCGTTTTGCACATTCCGTGCGTAGTGCAGCGAGGCCCACACTATGTAGCATACAGGATTAGCGTCTACAATAGTTCGGGATCCCAGTCGCAGACCTCTTCCGGACTTTGTACATTGTATTTGGCCAAAATGGCAATCAGACACACAGCCACGAAAGTCCCAGTGTGTGTGAATAGCACAAAAGCTGCCTCAAAAAAGGGTCCAAAGGGCAAAAAAGGCACACCACACGACATGCTGCCGCATGCAAGAGAATAGAAATCATAAGCAAAACCCTAAACCCTAACTAAACGGAGACAGGGAGGTCCACCCCCATTGCACAAAACCCTAAACCTGAAAGCACTGAAAGGGGTCAGGGGGGTCGCCATTATTGCACAACACCCTAGTAAATCCTATCCTAGAAGGGGGCAAAAAGGGGCAAGAGGGTCGACGCCGTTGCACAAAATCTTTTTTTTTTTTTTTAATTGCACGAAATCTTACCCAAAAGGGGACAGGGATTATAAACAAAACCTTACATGATAACAAAACAGGGGACAGGCAGGTCGACGCCGCTTCACAAAATCTTACCTAAAAGGGGACAGAGAGGTCGATGCCATCGGCGCTCCATCGCTTGATGTGCCCGCGTACTCCATTCTCGCCTGCTTCACCTTCTCTTCAGTCTTCAGTGCGGACCCAGATCCCGATATCTCCGTTCCACGGACACCAGCAGCAGCAGCAGCAGCAATAGAAGAAGAGGAGGAGGGGGCGGAGGAAGAAGAAATTTTCAAGGAGGAGGAGGAGAAGGAGGAGGAGGAGGAGGAAGAAGAAGGAGGAGGAGGAGGAGGAGGAAGCCCGATTTGGGCAGGTCGACCTCTATGAATTCCCTTGCCTTTTTTGTTGACGCCAACACTGCTCATTTGCTGATCGAGATGTGAGGACTGGGTAATGAGTTCTGCCGCCGGTCTGTTCGTTTACCACTTCCAAGGGCATACTTCGGGCTGGGCACTGTTGGTGCTATGTTTGTGCTTGGAAAACATGAACCTGGTCATACTGGTTGCTCAGATTCGTGCGTTGAAAGCAAACGAATGCGGCCGCGGCCCTTGCACTCAAGCCTTCACAGACGCTTTGTGCTTGGAAAGCATGAACCTGGTCATACCGGTTGGTCACATTCGTGCTTTGAGAGCAATGAATATAGCACCACTGCTCGTGGTCGAGAGAGAGAGAGAGAGAGAGAGAGTGAATGCGTTGAACTTCCGAAAAGTGCTCAGTCATAAGTCCTCAACGGAAAAGAAAAACAAACAAACAAAAAAAAAAAAAGTCATTAACGTTGTGCCACGTCCTCTCAGATTCTTTATGTCATCCCCGTTGCTTCCTCCTACCCCCTTCCCCCCCCCCTAACAGACCGCACCCGTTATTAAATCTGTATAAGGGGCAACTTTTCGTCTAGATACTACGATGGTCATGACCGCACGTTCTATAATACACGAGGGGGAAGACCTTACCGACCCGTTATGTAGTACCCTCTCGCTTAGCCTTTCCTCTCTCCTCCTCCCTCTCTCCTCCTCCCTCTCTCCTCCTCCCTCTCTCCTCCTCCCTCTCTCCTCCTTCCTCTCTCGCCCTCAGCTACAAGACGCACAACAACCTTTCACGCGCTATCGTCTTCTTTCCCGCACCACTTTCTCTTTCCTCATCTAGCTTCCTCTGCCTAGGACCAAGACAATGAGTGGCCTTTCACGCGCCATCGCCTTCCTTTCCCCTTCCCTCTGGACTCTGGAGTGTGTACTTCTCCCTCCTTACCCCGCAACGACCTTCACCATGCCCCTCTCTCTCCGCCACCAGTCTTTGTCTCTTCCTCTACTAATTACCTGGGACCCACTGGCCTCACTTCCTCTCTCTCTCTCTCTCTCTCTCTCTCTCTCTCTCTCTCTCTCTCTCTCTCTCTCTCTCTCCTCCTCCTCCTCCTCCTCCTCCTCCGGTTACTGATAGCAATCTTACTTGCGAGCACAATGCAGCACCTGAAATTGTTCTTCACAATGTTTCTTCCGCTTCAAGAAAGAAAACGTTAGCTCCTACTTCATGATGATCACCTTGCAGCCTCTCTCATCCCGATGCCCCCTCGTTGTCCTTACACGTGTCGCCATAGTTGTCCTCTGTCTCTCTACCTTACCTCTCTTGTCTATTCACTCGAGACGACGTTGAACGGATCGTTAGCTATGAACTCGACGCGACTTTGAGGTTCGAAAGCTATTAATAGGCTTTACACCGGTGCAGTAGAGGGTCAAGCTGCAGCCATAACCAGAAGCGAAGCCGAGAAATCAATATCCAGACTCCAGAGCCGCTAAGGAACTTTATTAGCAAGCCTATAGACAGGCTAAAGGCCCTCTGAGGTGGCCTTATAGATCATGTAAGGGGGCCCTTACCTGCACGGCGGTTTCGTGAATGGGTGAGGAGAGACCCAGGGCCAGGTCCCGACCCCCCCACCACCAAAGAGGAGTGCGCCTGAATGTGTTGCTAACGTAGTAGAACCTCGCCCCCGTATAAGGACGCCAAGAATCAGGTAACGGCAAGCCTACCGGCAGAGTCATCAATCACATCATTGCCGCGATTGCAACACGTGGGCATTTGTGGACACATACCTATTTTGAGAGGGGGAATCGCGAATCCCTTCGTGATGAGTATGCCTTCTATTCGAAGTGAAGAAGCCGACGAACCAAAACTACCGCTACCCTCATCACGCCTGCCGGGGCTAGGTCCCCGGTTGGACCAACAACCGGCCTGCAATAACACACCTATCAATCAATGGCTTCCAGCGGTCTTCCCCTGAACACAAAGCACCCCCGGAGTTCTACCGGTCGTGAATGTCCAGACAGGCTATCCGGTCCGAGACAGTCACGGCGGTAGGGCTCGGAAGAAAGCCGGAAAAAAAAACAAAGAGAGAAAAAAAAAAAAAAAAAAAAAGGCCGGCTGATGACATCTACAGGTACAGGCAGGGAAACGTTTACGGGCCTCGCCACACCAGTCGCGAAATGAGGAAAAGACAAAAATGTGGCGGGTGCAAATGGCCTTGTTCTAGCAGGAAGTTCATTCTCATTTTGCACATTTCGAGAGTGATGTGTCGATGCCCTATACGTCAGCCGTGACGGTACAGAACTCACCTACCCACATGATGCGTACGTATGCTTCTACGTCCACTCGGAGTTGTTGGGTTTTTTTTTTTTTTTTTTTTTTTTTTTCAACCAATCACTCGTTTATGACCGTCGACTGGACGTGTCGACGGCCAGTCATTCTTTGACCGTTGAACCACTCCCCAGCACTTCTAGTGCAGTCAACATCCCCAGCACCAGCACTTCTAGTGAAGTCAGCTCCCCAGTACTTCGAGTGCAGTCAACAAGTACCAAAGTCCCACTTATGCATAGATCTTGCTAACCTAAGGTCAGGAATTGAGAATTCAGGTATAGAATTCAGGTAAGTGGGACTTGGGCCCTGAGGAGACGGTAGAGAACTCACCAAGCCATGGTACCTTATGCTTCTTTGTGTGTGTGCGTGTGTGTGTTTTTAAGCACTCCTGGGGAGGCTCCATCTATTGGTGGGGACCAGCACCTGCTGGAAAGAGGGTCCACAGTCCCTGAACATTGTAGATGTTTGTTTGATCAGACATGTGATTGTGATGTCGGCCAGCTGCATGGATCACCTACAGAGTACAGATGTAGGGAGGTAGAACTACACAGCTGCCTGACTTGCTTGCGTACCTGACAGCCTACTTTAAGCCTAAATAGAGAGAGAGAGAGAGAGAGAGAGAGAGAGAGAGAGAGAGAGAGAGAGAGAGAGAGAGAGAGAGAGAGAGAGAGAGAGAGAGAGAGAGAGRGAGAGAGAGAGAGAGAGAGAGAGAGAGAGAGAGAGAGAGAGAGAGAGAGTACATATTACATACCTATGCTCCTTGTTTTTCCAAAAAGTTGTCTTCTCCTCATCGGGGGACAGCTGGGGACCCCTACAAGCATAGCTTGCTACCTCTCGTCGGCATGTTTGGCCCTTTGCCCTAGCGTTTAGGGTGCAGGGTTGGGGCCGCCGGTGGAGGCCCGGCTAACACAAGGACCGAGCGTTTGCCAGTAACTGTGACTATGCCTCCCTTTTCATCTTCCCCCACCCCCATCGGGTAACAGTAGTGTCTAAAGCCAACACTCCCCCACACCCCACCACTCATACGCACACTCACACCAGTGTTGGCTGAAGATCTTACTAATACCGACTGGGAGGATCCAGCTGACTATCTCAGTTGGTTGGTACCGAGTGTGGCCTAGCTCAATTGGTTAGGCACGCAAGTGACATTCAGGAGGTCGTGGGTTACACTTACGCTTCTACCTGAACTCGGAGTTGTTTCCCATTCAACCAGATTACCCGTTTATGACCGTCGACTACGCATGGCGATGGCACATGTCAACAGCCTCCCCAGCACTTCTTTTTCTCTTACCCAACACCACTCAGGTCCCTGTCTATTCTGGCGGGCGACAGTCCAATTGCTTATTATCAGCAAGCATGGGCTTCTTCTGACCGGGAGACTCCCCTTGGTACCCAGTCGCCATGAGGCCCACACTTACTTAGGCCAGGACCCAAGGGGGGGGTTCGAGCATGACACGTATCTCCCACCCCTCTCCCCTTCCCCTATTAAATTTCCCTACTATTCCCCATCCCATTTTACTTTACATTTATCTTTTTCCAAAAACCTTTCTTTTTTTTTTTCTTTTTTTTGAAACTTCGTATACGGGTAACCTACTTAACGAGGTGATAAGAGCATCCCCGGTAAGTAGGCCCCGACGTCGAAGGCTCCATCTATTGGTGGGGAGCTACACCTGCTGGAAATCGGGTCCACTGTCCCTGTACAATGATGAAAATGTATCTGCTGGAAATCGGGTCCAGCGTCCCTGTACAATGGTGTGAATGTATGTGCTGGAAAACGGGTCCAGCATCCCTATGCAGAATTGTGTTGATATCTCCAACTACCTATGTAGCAGTGCTATGCACGTTGAGCAATATATGTCAGATGATAGGAAACCCTATCCATCTGATCTACAGTATCTCCATAACAAACATAGGCATCGATTCCTATCTTCTCCGTCAGACAGAACCCTAACCTTGATGTGCTGTGTATTTTATTGATATAATTTGTGTCCGCTGGAAATCGGGTCCAATGTCCCTAAACAGTGGTGTGTAGATGTGTAACTATGTCCTATAGTCCGAAACTGTCTATATATGTTGTATCAATCAAAATCCAATCACGAAACCCTAAGCACTATCAATCAATCCTAAACACGCAGCTCTATCAGTGATGAGGTATGAATGATCTGGACGTCAAGTCCAGAATCCATTATGCATTATCGTATGAAACTGTCAGGGGGCATTTATTACTTCCCTGCGCAAGGGAAGGATTGACCTCCTGCAAGCTAATCCCTAAACAGCCCACCTCCAACCCACGGGGTGATCAGCACCCCATTGATGATTGATATTGCGGGCCGGGCAACAACAATCGCCACCAACTATCCTACTCCTATCCTCTGCCAAACGATGAGGAGCGATTCCGTATCGAAGTTGGAGGGGGCGAAGACAGTAAACCATTTCTCCGTGTCAACTCTACTCCCCACCACGTCCTCTTGCGGCATCATTCCCATCACGCTGATGAAAATCTGAGATGCACGGATACCGCTTTCTACCCCACTGCTTCCATGGTCGGCGTCGTCGCCTCCGCCTCCGCCTTCGTTGTTGTTATTGTTGTTGTTGTTGTTGTTGTTGTTGTTATTGTCGCCGTCACTATCATTGAGGGGAGGGGAGATAGCAAACTTCTTTTCCATGTCAACCCCAATCTCCACCATGTCTGCTTGCGGTATCTCCCCCACCATGTCGATGGTGATCACAACTGCACTGACACGCTGTCTGCCCCGCTTCTTCTGTAGTCGTCACTGCCGCCGTCGCCGTCATTGCTGTTGATGTTGTTGTTGTTGTTGTGCTCATTTTTGCTGTCACGCTCAATTTTATCACTATCCTTAACGTCGATGTTATCGATGTTGTTGTTGTTGTTGTTGTTGTTGTTGTTGTTATTGTTATTGTTGTTGTTGTTGTTCGTGCTATTGTTGGTGTTGTTGCCGCAATTATCTTCACCGACCTCCAAACCTCCCTCCAACCAGTCGTCCTTGTCGTCGTTATCGCCCATCTCACCCATCTTGCCAATTCTTTGCCGATTCTCCAGCTGATTGCGTAGATCGCGCCCCAATGTAAAGAGGGTTTTGCAAGCACCCATCCTATCATCCGCCCGCCTCCAGTCGATGTAGACCTCAAGATGGGCATCTGGCCCCTCCTATAGCTCTCACGTAATGTCTAGCATCTCCTGGGTCCTATCTTTCAACCACTTATCCATTGAGATCGCATCCCCATCAATCTCCACCCCTTCCTGCCGCCGCAGCATGAGCACCCTCTTATCGTCTGCAGTTGCTTGCATCCCTCCTCCAGTGTGATAAGCCATTCATCCGCTCGATGTTGTAGCTCCCCCACCGAATTCATCCCTCGCCTTATTAACTGCGCCACTCACACGGTTCTTTTGAACCCCTTGTAATCCTACGGCTAGCGCTACCCCTGATCACGTGTCACCGGACGTCCATGTCTCCCAACAACAGGTGTCACGTGGCAACAAGTCACTCGCACCTATCGATCACGTGCGCACGCCCCTCTGTCGGGGAGCTGTTCTCCCCAGGCGCTAGTCGAGTCGGGGCAACCAGACCCAAAAACCTTTCTAAAGACTTCATTTGTAGGTTGTCAATAATATCCTTTCCTGCTCGCCTTTTATTCCTCTTTTTTCCTGTACGCGACTTATCATGCTTTTTTAGGGGGGTTACTAGTAACTAGGCTGCAGTCACGATTTTAGTTTTAAATGCACTTCAGGCATCCCTCGAATACAACACATCCCCACCCAACCCTACAGCTGGGTTGTATACATTCACGACTTTCCTCGCTTTGGAGCAACATTCACGAAATCCTGACCGAAACGCATTTAAAACTGAAAATCATGACTACGCCCACAGTGATCGCTGGCAGTGGCAGTCGATGGTTGACGCGACTCGTCATCCTAATACTATCTTTCCCAATTCATATTTTATCTTCTAATTTAATCTCTAGCTAGGTCGGGGAGCACATCAGTCAACTTGACAAGTTAATGTAGACTTTTTTTTTTTTCTCCGTTCACTTGTCCCTTTTTTTTTTCGTTTTTCAATTCCCGCTTATCGCATACCTGCACGTTCGGTGCAGCCCCTGCATGATGTTCTCTTGTTAAACCACCAGTACCTCTCCCATAGACCCCTCACTGCGACTTTTGAAGGCCGGAAACGCGACAACGACCACCTATGAAATTTATCAAAATTTGGAGGTCCGGCCCCGAAAGTTGTAGTCGGATCTCTGAAAAACAATTGGGAAAGGTACTGGTGGCTTAACACAGATGTGACTGTCATGGGGTTCCCCGTCATACTGTATACTGCTACGGGGTTCCACATAATACTGTAGTGAACAATAACAGAGCCCTGAAAGATAGGGCATTAGGAGGCAGGTAATACTATAAAGAACCATAATAAACGCAAGGCCTAAGGATGCTCCTTGTGCGACAAACATGTTGAACTACATTATTCGTGGATGATTGCACCAAAATATGATCCCCTCACCGTGACGTGTATTTCATAAATTCCACAACAATCCTAAGTGGTCAATTCATCATGGATCACTTCCCGAAGTTTGAAAGTGATGTTGCGATTCTCACAAACTTACCTCTTAACTGGTCAAAGAACTCCACAAAAAATACTGTCACTTTAGAAATCCCAAGCCTAACTTACCAGGCTCAATAACAATATCATGTGAACTCTTACCCCGGGTCATAGGCGTTTCCGAATCAGCCAATCACAATTGCAGGTATGGATTGGTAGGACAAAGATGTCGCGGAAGCAGTAGGGTAGGAAGACTAGTAGCCTGGAATGGGAGGGAGAACTAAGAAGTCAGGAAGAGGAGGAACAAGTTGCACCCCTTGTTGTGACTCCTGTTGGGGCTCTTCCTGCAGCCTCTTGAGGTTCCAGGAGTAGGGATGGCACATTGCAAGAGGCTCTCCGACACATGTGACAACCCGTGGGATCTTGCTAGCAAATCAGAATATCTCTTGCAAAGCCAGCAATACATTTTTCTCCTCCAGCGTCCAAAATCCCCAGAGGCGATGACAATAGGGTGTTCCATGGTGGAGAGCAATACAGTTGCCTTCACGGTTTTCCACCCAAAAAGCAATGTGAAGTTGTGAATAAACCCAAAGTCACAAAAGATAGTATGCCACCAACACACTAGCATAGAGGATAAGTTTACATGCTCTTAGTCAAGGCATGTTTTTTGCCAAAAGGTATGCATTTGTGGAAAGTTGGGAGGGGGGAACAGAGTGGCTGGTGGACCGAGAGCTGGTAGAAGTGCATCATGGAATATTAGGCAGCTGGTCAAGGTTGAAAAACGACTTGGTGGAAGGGGTTGAGGTTCAAGCATGCACTTTGTTTCACATATGACGGTGAGTTGTGATGCACGTGCTTACATGAATGAACGAGTCTTTGCACCCCCTCCTTTTTGGGAAGCTTCCTGATCAATAACCGGGCTTGTACAAATCCAGTTCCGGTTCCTCTACCCGGTCCAGACGACATTCCCGCCATATGGTGAGATTGGGGTTCATGTTGTCTCGATCGATATGGGGTTGTAATTTTGGGTTTTCGAGAGCTTCGTTGCTCGCAGGGTTTGTCCTTGATGACTCAGACGGTTCAGACACATCGATTAATCTTGTCCCTTCGCTTTCTGCAACTTTCCTTGCATCTGCTGTACTTTTACGTAGGATTTACGCACGCCGTAGCGAGCGCGCTTGAAACTCTTTTTCTTTCAGGTTTTTCAAATTTCGAAGATCACGGGTGTCTTTTGGGATACTTCGCAATGCGTCATTTATTTGTTCATGTACATTTTGGAGATGTCCCTGCAAGCCCTGTGAAATTTTTGTGTATGGATGATAGAATAGGAATCAACATAAGCATTTGTGTGTCTCAATACTCGCGAGCGAAATTTTCTTACACTTTTCAACTTTAATTAAGCTTTAGGAATTAGGCGCAACTTCACTAATATTTCTCGTAATTGTTTCGGTGCCTTTTTTTAATTTGCACGTATGCTTCTCTTTGTGCTGCATTTTTGCATACAATCTTTTCTCGCTTCCTCAACCCCTTTCTTTGCACCATAATCGGCAAATTGTAGTTGTCTCCCTCTCTTTCTCCTTGCTTCCGTTGAATTTTGGTCTTGATCCATATTGTTTCCCGCAACCTTCTTTTTCACCTTCGTCCACGTGCAGGAAGGTCCTCCCAAGCCCCTAAGTAATTGTAGAAGTCGGACGACAGCATGTCAAGAGGTTTTCAACTCCTCACAGTGCGATCCGATAAGCTACGGCGTGGATCAACATGGCTTTCCAGCTCGACTTTCCCCGTATCGGTAGTGCTCGAGCGAGGTGTTGGATGACCTAGGGCCATAACTCAAGAGCATAAGTTTTTTTGCGCCTTATCCTTTTTTTTTTAGGAAGATTTTCATGACCGGACGGTCACCCGGGAGCGACTCCCGGGGGGCATGGGAAAAAAAAGGGGCGGTGGGGTTTTTCCCCGCTCTCTGAGAGGAACCCAAGTCTAGGCTCTTTTTTTTTAGAGAAAGTTTGTTGTCAAGGGGGAAAAAGGGGACTATAAATGAATTTTAAAGGGGCTAAAGGGGTTTGAAGGGGTTTAAAGGGGGGTGCCTTAGTGTGATTTTTTTTTTATATCTTCAGTTCCGTGAGGAATTATGATGTGACCCTCAACCAAAAATTGTTCGTATTGCAATTCGGCACAACATGTTTGTTTTTCATTTTTTTTTTGAGGTTTTTTTTTTTTTTTTGCATTGGGGCTTCCCAAGCCCATGCCCGTGGGTCATGCCCGACCGGTCACCCGATCGCCAAACCGGGTGTGACGTCGGGACCCGGGCACCCAAGATATCTCCCTCGTTTTTTTTTCTTATATTTGAAGCTAAGTTGCATGGCGAGATGTCAGTTTTCCTTCTTAATCGAGTGAGTGTAGTATATTATCCTCTCCTTTCTCTCTCTAACGACCATTTCGTCAAAATGGACATTTTTTATTTTTTGAACGAAATTGAAACTAAGTTTTTTGGCCGAAAATTCGTAAAAATTTGTTGTTCATGAGGGTCCAGCGTTTTACAAACGTTAGAACCCCTGGTTGTACATGGACCTAGTTTGAGATCAGGCACCTCCAAGCAAGACTGCCTGGAGGTACCTAGTCTCAAGCTAGGTCCATGTACAGCCAGGGGTTCCAACGTTTTACAAACGCCGGAGCCTCAGGAACAACAAATTTGGATGAGTTTTTGGTAAAAAAACTCGGTTTCAATTTCGTTAAAAAAATAAAAGATGTTCATTTTGACGAAATGGCAGTTCTTTCCGAGTCTCTCTCTCTCTCTCTCTCTCTCTCTCTCTCTCTCTCTCTCTCTCTCTCTCTCTCTCTCTCTCTCTCTCCCCCACACACACAAATTTTGATTTTGATGTGACGATGGTGGATGAATGGATGAATCTAGCTCTCTTTTGTTTTATCCCTAACTATGAATGTTCTTGGAAACATTCTTCGCGCTCCCAATTAATGAAGTCGGTTTGCCTATCAGTACAATCTTCCACTTGCAAGAAGAGCGTAACGAGGAGATTAATTGTGTCCCCGCTGATTGTAAACGCGAAGCACTTTATTTGGCTGCATCCGGCTGCATTTTCACATTGCCCCATTTCTTTCTTCATTTTGAATGAATGTCCCATTCGCACTGTTGAATGTATAACATGTTCATGGACGTGATCGAAGTGTTTCGGAATTGGCATCCTTAAAGTTGCTAAACTTGTGAAGATCTTTGCTCTTTTGATCGCTTTTAAAAGGAAAGCTAATCGCATTAATAATCCGA